GTACTATTTTCCTTTTTTCAGCCCCTCACATCAACAACTTCCCCACCGTGCCACCAGAGTGCTATATATTGGCTTTTTAAAAACCAAACAACAAACAATAAATAAACAAACAATAAAACTTGGTTGGTCTTAAAGGTGCCACTGGACTCAGACTTTGTCCTACAAACAAATCAGTAATTTGCAGATCACAATATGGTTATATTGGTCAGTTTCCAGGATCCACTCGTTCCTCTGATATTTTTCTTTCTTTAAAAAAAAATTAATTTATACCCTGTCTCTCTGAAGCCTCAAAGAGGTTTAAATCCTTCTGACCTCAGTTTTATCCTCACAACAATTCTGTTTTGAGATAACCGGGGGAAAGGGTGTAGACTTTCCAATTTCGGGGGGGGGGCTGGGGCTGGGCCAGAGGCATTGCTATGCTACGTTCTTAAAAGAACCGAGGTCCAGTGACATCATAGGGAGGAGCCAGTGACATCACAGGCCACTGTCACTGTCTATAGAGGCAGAGCCATGTGGGATTAAGGAAGGGGCTCTCCAGAAATTTAGGGGAACCTTTGGGAACCTCCCTAGCCATGCCCCTGGACTGGGCTAAACCCAGGAAAAGGTGAGAGTTGGCCAGTGGTTAAAGTGGTATCTCAGCGGTCTCCTGCTGTGTCCTTTATTTATATTCACTTTTAGAATAATCAATTTAAAATCTGCAAATATACATACCATGTGCATAAGACAAACAAATGGTCACAAATTAGAAAGTAAGTAGGGCAACACAGAAAAGCCTGTAGGGGAACATTTTAAAAGTTTTCCTGGACATTCATTTACAGGAGTCTTGTTTCTGCCTTATTAATAAGACAAACAAATGGTCACAAATTTGAAAGTAAGGAGGGCGACACAGAAAAGCCTGTAGGGGAACATTTTAAAAGTTTTCCTGGACATTCATTTACAGGAGTCTTGTTTCTGCCTTATTCATATTGGTGACTTTGTACTGAAATTTACCAAACTTTGGCATCACAGATGCCTTTGTTTGGTATATGCATGGCTGAAGTCTCATAGCCAGAATACCAAACAGTTGCTGTGCACTCAGTTTCTGAGCAATGTACAGAGTTCAGAGTAGCTAGCTCAGTTTTTTAGCCTCTGGCTCACACATTTTTGTCTTAGCTCAGG